CGACGCCCCGATTCCACAGTGTCTGCATGACTGCTGATATTTCTACTGAATCAAACGCCTTCTCATAATCTATCAAGGCTATGTATAGTTGTTGGCTATATTCTGAGCATTCCTCTATTACCTGATTGATAGTATGAATGTGGTCGATTGTTGAGTAGCCTGTTCAAAATCCTGCTTGTTCCTTTGGTTGATTGAATTCTAATGTTTTCTTAACTCTGTTAGCAATTACCTTTGTAAATAGCTTGTATACTACGGAGAGCTAGCTGATCAGCCTGTAATTCAAGTCCTTGACATCTCCTTTTTTATGTATTAAGATGATCTTAGCATTCTTCCAAGACTCTGGTACTCTTCCCATCAGGAGACAGCTCGTAAACAGGGTGGCTAGTTTTTCTAACAAAATCTGTCCTCTAATATAACAAGCTAATATAATAAGCTTTTAAACTTTAAGAAACGAGGAATCGACGTGAGGGTAAAATGTTAATTCAAACTTAAAGTAAGACTTTGCAGTAGTGCGAACATTTTCTGAAAAGATGTATTCATGGTATAGCACCACTTTCCTGCAGTGAAACCCTCTTTGCAGGGGGTTACATGGAGACTAATGCCCTTATTCATTCATTTCCAATACTGCAATGGTGCAGTATTGGAAATGAATGTTTGTCACCGACCAGACGGGATTCCGTTGGACTTTTGACTACTGCGAAATTTCCAGCAACCTAAATTTGAATCAATACAACTTCGAGTGCTGTAATATTTGTTTGAATATTTTAGTGCTCAAATATTTACACAAACCTACAATTAACTAATGATACCTTGCTGGTGGATATGCTGTGCTTCCCAGCAACACTTCTGAAGCATTGGCTGCTGCATCGTACTGACTTGTTCTGTGTGTGCTTCAGCTGTTTTTGGAACACAGTCCAATACAAAATGCTAATCAACATGACAGGCTTAATTAACTTATTGTACATCATGACTTTGTACGTCTCAAAGTGTGTCTGGATGTTGACTGAATTCTGAGGCTGGGTACTGATGAAGACGAAAAAGGCCTTTAATTTCTGTACATGGTTTTCACATGCTCTTTCCTCAGTTCTATTGCATAGACTCCTTTTCACATTAGGCAGGGGCCCTTTGTAAAATATACTTTGCATGTGCTTGTGTAGCTCATCTGGTCTTGTGAGATGTTCGTGAAATGTTCATTTCTTTGATTTACCCTGAAATGCGTAATAATTGTGGTTACTTCGGCAACAAATAGATATTGAGCTTTTGAGGTTATATTTGGTCTAAAATAGTTTTTCGAAATTTCACTGCAAAATTAGGTACAGGGTTATTTGTTCATTGAATTTTCCAAATATGGGATACCAGCTAGCTAAAATGGTCAGCAGCATATTCAAATTTTTATACTTTAATTATGTCATGCATTGTGTACCTCTTGGCGAGCTAGCAGGATTTGCAAGATGTATCTACAAAGTAAACATACAACCAATTTTTGTGGTGCCCATTTGCTTTAGTGCAACAGAAAGCTTGCCAGCCAAAGTGTATAATCACGGAACAGTAACATGGTAAGCACCTTGAAACATTTAGTCAAATGTATTGAACTGTGAAATGTGAAGTCCTATTCACGCAACACATGCAGTGAGAGGTGAGCACAGAAGCAATTCATGTTAGTGAGCTGCAATTTGCTGCACATGCATGCATTGTGGCTTGCCACCAGGTACTTCAAAGGCAGTGCCGTTTGTTTGCATGCTACTTTTTTCATCTTGTAATCGCCCCAGAGTATAGCTGAAATAGAAATATTATACAAACTCCAATATTGAGCTGTAATTATTGTGCATGTGAAAGCATCAGAATACATACAACAAACCTAAGATTCCATAATCTGCAAGGATTATCTGCTGGGCTGCGTGACACAGCGGTCTCTTGCAACTCTTAAATGAGATTTGAAAGTATAAATCCTACTCAATTAACGAAAAGGATGCTTGAAGCTGTCACTATAATTTGGTCTTTTCATTTCTGCCAGGGTTTAGTCGCATGTCCTGAACAGATGTCGGTCCCTTTTATATGTCTTTGCATGTTAACCAACAATAAGAATTCTTGCCTCTAACTGGTGTTGTGTGCAGTGTTATAGTAGTCTTCACTAACCCGCTTAGCATGGCTGTATGTACCAGTTTAAAACATCAAGAGGCTTGTGTTTTTCACTGCACTGTTCTGTAATATAATTATAATGCTCTGAGGTTGTGATTTTATGCACAGTAGGTACGATGCCAATAAAAGATAGGTAGCAGAGAGGGCGTAGGCTACCCCCTTTTTTGTGCTAAATATGCATAATACCTAGCTCTTTTGTGGGTTCCACACCTCGCTATTCTTCCCCCCCCCCCCCCCCCCTCATTTTAGTTCACCCTTCAGGGGCAGAAACCCCTGGTGCTGGCCTTGACATACATGTTCGTAGTGTAACTGTAAAGAACCTTGTACGTAATGTTGCAGCACAGAAGTCAAGACATCCATGCATGTGGAACTAGGCTACCAAAGAAAAGTCTGCATTTTATGAACCCAGGTCAGAGATCACTGAGACACTACTACTACATCCATAGGGCTTTGTACATATGACAAAACAGCCAATTTTTTTGTAATTATTGTGTGTGTTCTTTCGATGTCGTTATCTTTGCGACTACCAAACCTACATGCGGAATTTTTGTGTTGTGTGGCAGTCAGGCAGAGAAAGCCCGAATAAACAGTTTTGTATGGTTTTTCTACAATACTCCACATTTTGTTACATCTGAATGAGAAGTGCCTTTGTCTATGTAGTGCACACACTTAGGAAAATTACTAGCTAAAAACTTTGACCATCTCCCCGAAGGGAACCCTGATAGGATGCGAAGCAGCAGCGTTGCGCATGGGTGGCGTCACAGGTTGGACAGCGCCAGTGCGGGTGCTGCGGTAAGAGCTGGAACATTCGTTTGAAGCGATGGCTGGCGTAGGTTTTGTAGGTTGCACGTACAGGCATGTTTCAATGAGTACGCTAGGTGCCGTCAGGTTTATTGTACGTGAAGTTGCGAACAACAGTCGCGGCATGTTTGCAGGCGAACGGAGAAGGCAGTAGCTGCGGGCGCAGCAGTAAGCACGCGGCAGGCGAGCGAGAGAGTCCTACAGCGCACAGCACGTCTGTGCAGAGGAACAGCGTTACACAGGCTAGTCAAAGAGCTGCTTCGTATCTAAAATATTTCTCGGTGAGAACTACAGTGCATGCCTCTGTAAGATTTATGTGGTCTTCGCAGGCTTTATCACTTTGTTCTTGCCATTAAATGTCGGGAGGATGAGCATGTCTGTGGCTATCAAGACTCAATCCTGCATCCACAATGCGTGAGTGATCATTGTCATCAGTGTGTCATCACCGAGCAGCTGCCATGACTTCTTCTAACATTCTTGCCTTTCGTTCGGGAGGACCTATACGATCCTTTATAACGGCAGCAGTGCAGAACTCAGCATTTTGTTTGTCTGCACTATGTATTGCACCATTGTCTCAACATGCTATCAGGCCATTTCTCATTGACAGCTTCACTTGTTCCGTACAGCAGAAATTAAGCCTCTCATCGCCACCAATTGGAATTTCACTTGTTCTCTTGTGACAGTGTGTACTAATCACTGCACTGGCATAGGAGCATTCACGCAATGTTTTCTGCACTGTGCAGATAGTATGAGTGGTAGTGGCTATGGATACACTGCAGTAACTGCATTAAAGCAATGCCACATTGAACTAAAACAGTGTGTGTATTGGAAATAAGCTGTTCTTGAGTACATGGCAGCAGCTGTTATGCAAGCCTTCTGCTGACAATATAGTTTTAAGCTATAATAACTTAAAAACTCAGAGGGTCTCTTGTGACAACTCCAAGGCAAAAGCCACTTTCTTTTTACTCTCTGCGGATGTATGAGGAAGCAGGGAACATGAGCTGTGGCTTCTTGTGCCACTGCCAGGCTCCATTTTCTTTTTCTTTTCTTGAGGTCGTGCGCTCTCCAGTTCTGTTCACTGCCCAAAGGAGGGCGCAATAGCGCCATCATGTGGTGTTACATCAAACGATTTCGCGCCAGAATTTGATGCCACAAATTTTCACAATCTGCGATGCCATAATGACGTTATCACGTGATGACGACAAGTTGCATCACACATCCCCGACGCTGTGGTCAGATTTCCTGTTGCATTGAAGGCTTAATGTAATGCATGTGTCCCTGTGCAGTTTCTTGGACTGCCTTCATCACCAATCTGCTTGTCACACATGTATGTCAGTCCACTGTCTGAAATAAGCTGAATACAGTAATGCATTTCTGAAGCAGAGTTTGATCCCCTCTGCAATTCTCCTGCATACAGAGATGAGCATGCGTGAAACTCAAGTGGATGCTGCACACTTTCTTTATTGTTATTTTGTAGGCTTGTGCGAATAGTGATTTTAGATTCGAAGTGAACAGCGATTTCGGTCGAATAATTTAGATTAAAATACTGTATAAAGAGAAATGGACATTATTTTTTTTTTTAAGTGAAGCAAGGCCTGTGCGCACACCATTGTTCTTGGCTCAAAGGAAGTGGTAGCAACTTTCAATAGTAGCAAAATTAGACTTTGGGTAGAATATAAGTGAAAACATGTAAAATATGTTGTGTTTTCAAGTTGACTACTTTCAAATCATATAAGCAGGTATAACAAGCTTCTAAAATAAAAAAAAGATGATTTGTTGTGAGGGTAATGCGCTCATTCAAAAATAAAGTAGATGGCGTGACTGTGAATTAATTGTTTTAAATAAGTGTTCACGGCCTAGCCCTTTTTTTACTGTAATGAAACCACCTTTACAGGGAGTGACATGCTGACTAATATGTATTAAATAGGTGTTTTCATGGCTTAGCGTTCCTCTACTGCAGTGAAACCCCCTTTACAAGGGGGTTACATGCGGAGTAGAAAGAGAGCCAACATTTATTACAACAAAAAGTGGTTCATCGCGGATGGGGCCCTTCTTTCCAGACTCCACTGGCAATAGCGGTTTGGCGGGCCTGACCCAGGGTCTCAAGCTGGCTTCCCAGGGTCTGTTCAGCGAGTCGTGCCTCTCACGACCACGTCTGTATTGGGTGCGTATGTTCCACGTCAACTGTGACGGGTCGCTCTGGACATCTGTATGTTATATGTGTTAGTGTAGGAATATGTTCGCACCACAGGCATGCGTTGGGCTATCTCTCCGGGTACATGATGTGAAGCTTATGCAGATTCAGGCATGTATTAGTCTGTAAGCGGTGCCAGTCCCGCGCTTAATGTCTATCCCGGTCCTTGTGCGGAGGTGGCCCGATGCGGTGATCTAATCTTCGTCTAAGATTTCACGTTATATCACCCCTTCGTCTGTAACCTCTTCAGTTATGGGTGGTCGTGGGGCTCGGCCATTGAGTACTTGAGCTTTCATGGCCATCCTGGACACCAGACTAACTCGTGGTCAAAAAGAAGTTTGCTTCCTAGCAGTTTGATGGCCCTTGTTGGTAATATGCCTTTGAGAAAAAGCGACAAGCTGCCTGAGAGTCTGAGACCACATAAGCAGAGATACCCTATTGGTCTACCATTCGAACGGTGAGAGCGATAGCCTCGGCTGACACGGCGTTAACAAGTTTGCCTCGGTTGACTCCAGGAAGAGCGGGAGATTGCTGCTTTGGACTGAGATCTGTATAATAAACGTCAGGGTGGTCCTTTAGTCATTGCAGCTAATGTACTCGAGCTTTTTGGCGTCCTCTATGGTGGTACGAATACATATTGCGAGGGATGGGCGGCATCACAATGCATTGTCCGAGATTTTGTGAGAGTAGGTTGGTGGCTTCTGAACAATATTGCCACAGAGACTGTTTACAATATCCGACATTATGAAGAATCAGCGTCCACAGTCTTGTGCGCACTCTTGCTTGGGGCCGCACGACTCATGCCTCTTGTTCACGGGCACGAGTCAGTTTGGGTTGGAGCTGCGAAGAAGAAGAAGGTGCGTTGGCAGATGAACAGTTTTTGTTTTGGAACGCTCTAGCGGACTTTTCCATCTTTTCGCACATAATTTTCAGGGCACAAGTTCGCCCATAATAAACTAGTTTTTGACGTTTCTTCTCTTGCACCCGTTACAATATTGCGGTCAGATAGTAAATTCGAGTTTGTAAGGAAAATTTCCCATAAAATGTGCCGCAGAGTCATTCTCTGTGGGAGATAAGTGTGGCAGCTCCTCGAAAGTGTTCTAGCAGGTGCTGTGTGCTCGTACAGGTAGGTAATAATATACACTCACTCGTTCCTTTCGAATACTTTGAAACTTTCAACAATTTCAATTCGAATCAAAACAAATTCAAATATTCGCACAAGCGTTCTTTCGACACATTTCACCGTGCACTTTCGTCAGCCGAGAAGTGGTACCTGCCTTTGATTTGGGAAACCCTGGTGAAGCCTTGACATCCTCGATAGTTATAGCACAACAACAGAACGACGACGCAAAGACCTTCGTGTCCCTCTTGTCTCTGCGTCGTCGTTCTGTTCTCGCGCTATAACTATCGTCATGTCATACCAACTAGCCCAAGCTGCCACACTTCTAACTTGACATCCTACCATGACATCACGCAGTAGCGAGGCAGTCAAAACCAGCCCCGCACCATAAGCTAACTAAGCACCAGAAGGTTATCTGGCACTACTTACAAACACATTCATTCCCTTGCCCATACATTTATGCATGTATATACCCCAACACGATTGATCCGCATTGCTCGCATTGTGGCTCAATAGCCGCACTTAATCACATTCTCTGCGCCCCTGCAGAGAAGATCCCCCTTCTCCCAATCTTCTGGCCATTCCCTCGCCAGAGGGGTGGGAGGCAGTTCTGACCTCCACCAGCCTGGCCGTTCAGCTTAAGGCCGTACAAAGGGTGGCCACCAGGTTCAGCCTGGCTACCTCCTTAAATCTGATGACAATCAAGTTGTGTTCGCTCTCACCGTGCACTTTTGTGGAACTTCAAATCGTTAAAGGAGCACGGACACTAAATCTCGAAAGTGAGATATTGAATGAGATAGAATAATGTAGAGACATACACAACATCCACAAAATATCGAGGACAAATGTAGCCTAGAACATATTTAAAAATCCACCTTAAAGTGCACGCCGGGTGATTGAGCGAGATGCGTAGCCCCTCGCAATGCCAACATTAATGCGGCAGGAGTGTCAACAAACCCACGTCACAAGTTGGCTGATTGCTTGGCCTTGTGGTTATGCTTCCTGCTATTTCTTCCTTCGTGCTTGTGGCTTTGCGTGTGCTGGCTGTCAGTGCGGCATCCGCTCGTCCATGCAGCGTGACAGTTTTGCGTGGCCATGTGGGCAGCTGTGTTTACTTCCCCGCCGGAACTGCTCCCACCTGGCTTGGCAGTCCTTGAAATCAAGACTGGGTGCTCTAAAAATGTCTCAAAAGAAATAACCATTGTGCACACGGGCAGATGAGGTTTCCAGCTGTAATAAACTAACTATTGCATTAAAAGAAGCCAGGGTGCAAAATTTTTGTGTAGCTGTTCCTTTGACTCTGCCATCACGAACAAGTACTATATTCAGTAAACTGTCATTAAACAAAACCTACAGGAAATGTGTTCTATTGAAAACTTAGACATGAACAGGGGCATGGAATTGAGACACGAAACCAGTTGTATCAGAGGTGGTAGTTTCATGTAAGCAGCAGTTCTGATCAAGAGATTTCTATTTACCGAGTGCACTATACTAGGAAATAACACAAAATGTCAATTGATGGTTTTCAAACATTTCTCTTTATTGCCAACTTCCACTGCAGACTGCCGTTACACTGAAACTAGCGCGACGTAGTCACAATATGACTGGATCAAGGTAAAAGGCTATAATGTCTAACCCTCAGGTCTCTGAATGCAATAGAGTCTAAGGTTATTGAGATGCCACAGCGTTGACTCTTTGCACTATTTTGTGGTTTCAGCTAACTTTTAGCAGTGCAAGGACAAGACATAAACAGGAAAACAGATGCATGTGCAAAGTGCAGGCTTCCAGCTGGTTTTACAGTGAGAGCTGTTGTGAGATCGCAACAAGGGTCGCGTGTGACATAGTTGTTCGCTGCCGCCGGTGTCTGTAATCACTATTGCTTCAAGCAAGAAAAATACTAAGCAAATAAAAATTAATGCCCAAGTGCTCTGTACAAATGGTTAACCAGCAAAAGCTGAAAAGTGCGGCCTCGGTGTTTAGCAGTGGTTCAACCCAACAGGGCATTGAAGCCTGTTACAATTATTGGTTAGATGTTCGTGCTTCTTATTGAGGTTAGACACGCGTTTGGTTTGAGCTTACCAGAGTTTATTTCACACTCCAAACATTGTGCCTTGCATGAAAATGGTCATGGAGGAGTGTAATAAGCAGTTAAACCAATTTCACAATACACTAATCACAGTGGTTGTTTCCTAACTACAGGCGGTCACAGACGTCGCTGCCGAACTCAGAGTGTCACTGGAAAAACTCCTGCCAAAAGAGGCGAACGTGCTCCCGCAATCATCACATTGATAACAAAATGCCACTTGTTCAACGTTGTTGAGAGTGTTTGACATTCTGAGCTAACTCAGCAGCGTGGTTCGCAGGATGTGCCCTCCACCAACGCTTGCAGTCCCGTTCGAGATTTAGTGCGAACGAGAAGGCTTGGAAGGCTGCATGATCATTGGTACGCAGTTGCTGCCGGCACTTGGGCTCCTGTGTCTGTTTTTGCGGCACGACTGCATCATCGGCCCGGCAAATGCAAGCTTTCTCACGTTTCCACTGTCGATGCTCTTCTACAGTTGTCCATGGCATACCCATGTGGAAGGTTTCAGGAGAAACTGATGCACGTGAAATCGGCCCTACGGCTGCGACGAGATGAACAAGGTCGCTCACAATGCAGCCAATGGTGCGCCTGTCTGGGTAAGAGGCTGAGAATGACGTAACTGATGGAGACCGCTTTTGACACCGCTGCTGGACAGTTTTTCATTTACCCTAGCCATGAAGAGCTCTTGCTGTAAAAACATTAAGGACACGATGGGATTCGAACTTGAGTGGCCTGCATGCCAGCCCAGTATTCTACCATTGAGCCACGCTGGTGCATTGAAATTCTGCTGCAAACTGGCCTTAGGCAGGCTTGACGTCGGGAAAGGAACCACGTTTATATTCGTAATAAAGTGTTTTAGAACAGCAAAAAAACAACCTGAACCAGGCTTCATACAATGCAAATTATTTTCCGAGTTGATTGTCGAATGTTCCAACCTATTACAAAAGCTTCAGGCATGATTCTTCATCGCTGTCACCCACAGCATGAAAAATCGCACAAGATTCCTTGTAAGCATGTAGCGGGTAGCATATTTCTGCGAAGAATGACGAAAATGGCATAGTGAATACCTGCCTACTGCACATAAAAATTAAAATTATTTATGGCATAGTGGGTACCCAGAAAGTGTGCTTGTGGCAGTTACCCAAAGAGTGTTTAAAAAAGGCTCTGGCAGACCGCTCTTCCAGCTTTTTCTGTGACTGTGCTGCACATTCCGTGCAGGCCTGGTGTTTTTTTAGAAAACTGGATATTTTTAGGTTTTTCAGAATTCCAAAGCAAGGATCAAGTGAAAAGTAATTGTCATGAAACAGCAAAACAACATATGCATTAAAATTGTTTTTTCTCTTATATTTAAGATCATATGCCTCACCTGCTTCCACAAGATGTAGCCAGCTGAAAGACTTCACTTTGAGGCTGCATCTAGGTTCCTGTTTACGTCTTGTCTTCTTTGTGGAGTTTTAAAATTTGTTATATGAACTGACTAGATCAACAACTGTCCGCACTTTCAAGTTTTTTTAATTCTCTAGTACGCCTTACATTTTGATTTAACCAATGTGTGGGCTCCCTAATCTGAAACTCTCTAAAGAATCAATGTTTTGGCATAGCCTGGGCAACAAATGCATTAAATTGGCAATATTATGCTGTTTTGCACTAATCAAAAGTGCTAACACATTGCACTGAGCACTGCCACAACTGTTCAGAACCATGAAATAGAATACTACATGGCACGGATGGATGGACAAGCTCCCCAAGCTGCAGACGAAGACTGATTTGTGGAGCGATGAATTGATAGCATTGCTAGGATTAACCTCTATGTAAAACAAAACCGACCACACTTGCCAAGCACGAAATCCAAACATAGTGGACTGCACAGTGGAGTACACTGTTAAAAGAAACACTGCAATGTGTTTCTTTACCTCATATTTACCTTGGCTTTAACAAGCAATGGAGCTGTTTAAAGCCAAGGTAAATCCCTGGAGATCTTTCTGGCCCAGCTGTGAAGCATGACGAGAGGAAGAGCATGTGTAAAGCATGACAGGTCCCCTTAAGCCCTGGTGGTGTCAATCGGCACCATCGCACAACGTTTCTCCTAGAAAGTGCGAATTCTTAGCAGAGCATCTCTTCAACGATTTCAACCGCAATTGACATCACTATTATGGCATTTCTGCAGAACTGTAAACCAGAAAAAAGAATCCCGACAAAAGCCATGGGCGACGCCGAAGAGGATAAGCTGAGGCAGGTGAGCGTTTTTTTCAGGACCAAGTTCCAGAGTTGTTTCAAGAACTTCTACACTGCTGAAAAAGATGTCCCTTCAGATTTTGTGTACTCTAGTGAGCATAAAGAAGCCATTGTTCTCATTTCATAACCATTGAGTCATGATGACCCAATTTAAAGGGACACTAAAGGCAACTATAAAGTCGACGTTTAGTGTTGAAATAGTGGTCCAGAAACCCCGCAGTGTTACTTTTGTGGCAAGGAAGGGCCTATTTTCAAATAAAATCACGTTTTAGTGGCCCGCATTGGGTTAGCCAACTTCAAGTTACTCACCTCAAGAACCAATCCAACTCACGTCACTGCTGTGCACAATGTTGCTCGGCTTTACTGTGTGGTCGCTGACATTGGTAGACAGAACGAAAGCAGCGAGAGCTGCAGCAACGGCCATTGATCAATTTCCTGTCATAAGCTCTGAAACTGCAGACGTGTTTTGGCTCAACTGGGCCCCACTAGATGGCACGACATGTCCACTGTTACCATGTTAAAATTGAATTTTTGAACCACTAGTGTCATTTTTCCGTAGTAACGTCCGGCGGTTCTTTTTTTCCATGAATCAAACAGAAACGAACAAGCAGTATTTTATTGTGTCTCTTGACGCACGAAAGGTTCTTTATTTAGTGCAGTTAGATCGATTACTAGTGATTAATTGCAGGCGGTTTGTCTGACGTCATCGATATCATTTTGCAAATGTCCTACTGCGGTGCATGTATTCTCGTGCTTTTACCTTAATTTCGAGATAAGTAGGGCACTGTTCTTGATAATATTGTCATTTTAGATGTTGTCATACACTGAGCTTTCACTCTGACGCAAATTGTTGTTTGACTTTAGTGTCCCTTTAATGCCATGCATGTAAATCCATAAATAATTGCACCACTGGCTCAATTTTTCGTTTGTGGTGTTCTGAGGTCTTAACCATTAGAAAAACACAAAAATATCCTCGGCCACAATAAAAAAATCCAGGGCTGAAAGGGCTGGTGTAGAGCTGTGCCTGTTGGAGAAAGGGTAGCAACGTGGAGAGGGGGTAGAAAGAGCTGGGGCACGATTGGCTGTGCCGGTGAAGGGGTTGACCAAAGACAGCACATGCTCGAGCAGAATTGGTGGTGCTAGTGAGAGAGGAGGAAGCGTATTTCGAGAGTCAGTGAAAGTGTAGCGGTGCGCTGTTGTCACCAGCTTCGCGGTTTAATTAGCATTTGCAACATGTAGTCAGTTGAAGCTGGAAATAACTTTTGCGAATGCTGGCTGAAGTTAACCTGTGGATGCACCAGATACAGGTGTGTGCTGCAAGCAACGTTAGAGGCATAATTGACCAGCAAGGCTTCATTTACAACCTGTCTAGTGGCTAAGGTACTCGGCTGCTGACCCGCAGGTCGCGGGATTGAATCGCAGCTGCGGCGGCTGCATTTCCGATGGAGGCGGAAATGTTCTAGGCCCGTGTGCTCAGATTTTGAGTGCAGGTTAAAGTACCCCAGGTGGTCGAAATTTCCGGAGCCCTCCACTACGGCATCTCTCATAATCATATGGTGGTTTTGGGACGTTAAACCCCACATATCAATCAAATCACCTACAACCCACGTACTCGAGATGTGAATTGTATGCGAACTCCAGTATGCAGGTTGGCTTTGTGGCAGTGCTACATGGCAATACGATGGAGAGGTTTGTTTAATTTTTCTGCAAGCCGTAGTTGGCAGAGCGAGTCATATGCAGAGGCGGATTATAGACGTGAGAATTTTACAATGTCTCGCTAGCGTGTGACTTCCCTCTGTTTCATGTGATCATGACACAGTTGACCCTGAAACTTGCTGCAAATTACATTACCTATTTAGGGAACTAAAGGTTGCTAGTAGCGTTTCTCAGGGCTTAGAAGTCTGACACCATCGTTGGAAAAGAGAAAAAAAGAGGGGGGAGAGATCAGTATATCAGTGTTTCTTTTTAAGGGCCAGACTGGTCTTTGGGACCAAAAAGTGACAAAAAAATTCATTTTTTAAAATTGCCACATTTAGTTTTTGCAAGTATTTTTCCATCTCTCTGCGAATTTTCATACACCAGGAAGTGGTAATTTTTTTGTAATGTCATTCAAACTGTCCAGATTTTGGTGCTGTTAACATGCAGAACCTGCAAAATAATGGGGAATTGACTTTGAGGCTTCTTTATGATTTGCTAGCATCTGTGTTAAAAGCTCTGCTACGAATTTATTAGCATCTTTATGATGATTGCAAAACATGCGCACCATGATTGAAACTGTGTTTTCAGTTTTTCCATTTTTCTAAAAAAAAAAGTAAATTTAGGACTGTTCAATTTCGAGGCCTCAATATCTCTGCAGCTAGGGCAGGTACAACAATCCTTTTTATAATGGAAACCTGTATGTGTGTAGAATGCAAGTATGGGAGCAGAATTTAGAGCACAAGCCTTTTTAATTAATTACTCATCGAAATTGTAACAAAATTCTAACTGCTTTTGAAAGTGGATAGTACATTTTTTTGCTGTAAAATAACCAAGAAAGGCCTACAAACATTAAAAAACTTGCATAATTTCAGTCTATAGTCATCAGTGTATGTTGGCATATCTTAAATAGTATCACTTTTAATTGAGCACTTTTTTTTCCATGGAGGCCTTAAACAATAAAGGGTGAATTCAAGTTTTCTCAGAAAAAAAGATGAGTTACAAGAGAACTAATTAAATATTTGAACTTAGCAGAAAAAGCTGCATAATCCTTTGCAGTTTGATCAAGATCACTGAAGAAATAAACAAAAAAATGTCTCAGACCAGTCTGCCCCTTTAAAAGTGAACTAAACTGCACTGTCAGTTGTAGGTTTGCTAAGCAGCAACGTCCATCTCCTTTCAACACCATTGTTTTTAAATAGGCTTGAGCTAAAGTGAACAGGCATAGGAGACCAAATAGTGCTACGACACATGCAGTTCATCAAAGGGAACTGACAATGAATGAGGCGTTTACGTTTGAAGAGTATGCTCTGTGCTATTGGGGTTGGGCGTGGTTTATGTACGGAGTTCATAAATGTGGAATGAAATGCCTAATCAACACTATGTAGTACATTTGATGAACAGGTAGTGCAGAAGCAAGAATTGGTATACAACTGAGGAGAATGCTAACACTATAAGCACCTAAACTAATGAAGCATTTCATGGCACTTTAATCATTCTGCTTCTAAAGAGTGAAGGCGTGCAGAGGACTGGAACACAAAGCAACGTGTTCATTGCATGCCATGTATGAAGAATGCAGCATAGTTGGTTTTACAAATGCCCTTCCATGTTGAATGACTAAAGGTACACGCGGAGCCTGGCAGTACCTCCCTTGTAACCTAACAAACTGCTTACTGCACCTATGTGCAGCTGAAAGCTGATGATGAAGCCGCTCTCAGTTCAATTTCTGTGAAATATAATGAACTTGTTACTTGTAATTACGTTCAGTCCACTGCAGCCATCGTCCACTTCTGCTTTATTTACTAACCTTGAGAGAGTAGTAGTTAGTTAAATGACATACTAATTACGAGTTTTAATGAGGAAGAAGTGTTCACACTAACGACGTTTGTGAGGGCCTTCTACAGGCAGGCCACGGAGGTGCTGTCAACTTTCTAAAATGTCCTTCCTTTCACGTTTTAAGCTTTCCGGCAGGAACACGTTCAGCAAGCATAGTCACCAACTGGCCTAGGAGCAAGTTTTTCATATTGTCAACACAGTCAGCTTGGTGCACGTTAAAGAACCCCAGGTGGTCGAAATTTCCGGAGCCCTCCACTACGGCGTCTCTCATAATCATATAGTGGTTTTGCGGCGTTAAACCCCACAAATCAATCAATCAACACAGTCAGCTTTCAGGGGTCACTAGCACACAGCCAAACAATGAGACAGTTCAATAAACACTGCAATACACAAAGGCTGAGAGTGTTGACAGCTTCAACGGCAACTGGAAACACTGGTTGTGGCAGCAACATTCAACACCTGCGCCTTCTTTTTTAATTTGAACAATGGACTCAACAGGAAAAATCTGGATGTTTATAGTTCACAATGCAACACCACAACATGTGGAACAAAATGAAAGCACCGTACGATGTTTGGACTGTACACTTGCTGAAGCATGAAAATTAAAAAAATAAAATGGGTGAGGGCATCTGCTGCGACATTGGTTTGACCCTGAAAAATGGCAGGCATGTTTCTTATTCTGCCGGTCACTAACAGATGGGTGAAATGGAGCGAAGAAAGTTGCGGACCTGGCTGCAACAGATGATAAACTTCTTCAAAATTGTTCGAAACCTCACTTTTTCAGCCTGGCATGCCTTCCTCCATTTCCAGCTGTGAACTTGTGTCAGAGAATCGGCTGAGAGCCTCTGCAAAAGACAGAAAGGATGCAAGTGAACACAGAAAACTATGTTTTTTGACAGCTTTAACCTTTTATATTCAGCTTGTTATGAAGACTAAACCCACTGATGAATATCCTGTAAACTGCGCAGAGTAGATATCAGCCCTCTGGTGATTCACAATCAGTCTACGTTGTACGAGGAACAAACGCAACTAATGGAAGACAAGAGTGTTCATTTCCATGTGCTAGTTCTCTTTCTTCCGTTCAACCTGTAAGTAGCATCTAATCTCCTGCAGACCGTAATATACCTAGACTTCATCACAAGTGATAACAATGATGAATGAAAGATACACATATACAGTCGAGCCCACATATAACGGCCCCAATCAATACGAATTTTCGTTAAGAAACGATACCCACTTGACCATGTAAATATACATTATTTCAATGGCACAAAATAGCACTCTATACGAACTTCTCTATGCGTCGCCGATGGTTACAAAGAACGGAGTCAGCACTCGAGTACCTTAACAGGACACCACTTTTGACCACTGATAAGCATCAGTGAGGTGCCCATGGATTCTTATTGTTAAATGCTGACCCTGCCTCCACACCCCTCTAGTTGTCGCTCACCACAACAGTTTTTTGTGACATACCCCTCAGTTCTTTGTCCTTCCCGCTACTCTAAGCACCTTCCATCGCCAGACAAGACCCGTGTTTTCACACTGCCATCGATCTTTCGAAGACTTGTTGGCTGACTAGTCTCCCCTCAGTTTTTGATCGCTGGTCCTGTAACACTATCGTTGGTGTCGCCGGCCTAGAGCCAACGTCGTCAACAACTGACTGTACCCGACCGCCTGCGTCTGTATCTTGTCTGGATCAGTGTGCCGTTCCAGCGCACACACTTGCGCTATCTCAAAGACTTTTATTATTTGTGATTCTTTCCCTATTTAGGGCCTGTTTTTATTCACTCCGCTCAGCATGCCCTCCTCAAGCATATGGAAGCGTAAAAGCCCCTGTAACATGGAATGAATGGCGAATAATGAAATGGGTGAGGCATCCCACCGCTGCCAACTGTTGTAAAGAATCGAGAGTTTGATGATGGCATCCCGCTGCTGCCACCAGTTGTTAAAGGCTCGAAGTCGATAGCAGGTACGGCAGGTTTTCTTTAGGGTAGCTGGCACCCCGCCATCGTCCACATAGCCGATGCTCGCCAGTGAGGGGACGCGTTCTTGAGAGATTGAACGAAGATTTAATTACATAATAGATGAAACATGGAACTGCACAGTGTTCCGCTGAGAATCAGCTATGTACAAATATTCAGTTCATGATTCCACACCTATTTACAAAATGTCTTCGGCTTTTATAGCCCGTCGTCCTTTTACATGGAGGTCTGAAGAAGGCAGAGACCACTCTTGCCATAAATCAGGTGACGCGATGTCTCAGTGGTCCACCCACCAGAAAGGATGCAGAAATTGGGCCACTCGTGAGAAGAAGAACGTGGGTGAAAATGTCCAATGGTCATCACGAGTGCACTACACAATGACGTACCCGGCCTATGCCTTAAAGGCACCGCAGGGCGAGGAGGCAGGGTCCGGAGAGGAAGAGATGAGCTCCTCCGGGGAGATGGCCGCTGACAGAAACGTCAGCAGAGGTCCATAGCTGCTTTCAGCTACAGGCTTCCAGAACTCTCTCAAACATAACAGTCCAAACGCTCGATCCCTGAGGGTGGCTTCTTCGGCGCGTTCCCACGCTTCCGGGCTGTCGGTGCTATTGTGGCAATTTCGCGTCGGCGACAACAGCCGAGTTGAGAAGTTGACTCCGAGAGAAATGCCACAGTGGCGCCGTCCCACGCTGTTCGAACCTGTTCAACAAAAGGGTTGTCTCGCGAAGGTTTCATTTAGACCCGACCACTACCTGGAACCTCTCAAGGACAGTGTCTAGCCGACTGGGCACCGATGGGGTTGAAAGCAACCTAGCAGACTGGCTTACGCACAATGGCGGCTGCCCAGATGAACTGCTGCATCAAAGGTAACAACGTGTACACTCATACCTCGTTATAACGTAACAAGATATAACAAAATAATGGATATAACAAAGTAAATGGAATTCCCCTTGAAAGCTCCATTGAGAACCATGCATTTTAAACCTCATTATAACGAAGTAAAATTGACCGGTAAATGGATGGAACTAAATTAGTCTATCAAAGAGTCTATAAAAAAAAAAAACGACCATAGTGTGTTAAGTATATCTTTTTCTGCGGAAATTGATGCTCGTTCCGCGCGGCTCTTTTAAAACTACCGCATTGATTTTACAGCCACGCCACGTGCGGCCGAGAGCCGTCCTTCTCACACAGCCAGCGGGGAGGATTGAGGAAGCGCCCAGCGGGTCGCATGACCGAGAAGCGGGGCCGCGGTGCAAAACCATTTCCCTCTCCGCGCCTTAAAGACGACGGCAACGACTGCATCTCCACTGCTACACTCTTCACTGAGAAAGAAAGACTCTCCGCAACAGCTTTTTTTTTTTCCTCTCCGCGTGCGGTTTTGAAAGGAGAAGGGTCCCTACATGCAGAGACGGAAAAGGGAGAAGCGTGGCACAAGCGCGTCGCAGATCGGCAATAAAGAGAGAGCAAACAATCCACCACAGTCTTTTCTTTCCTTTTTCTTCTTTTCCTTCTTCGCGCGCAGCGTTGAGAAGTGCCGCCGCGGGATTGGGCAAGGTGCTGAGAGCACTTTTCGAGCGTGGTATGTTCAAATTAACCGTCGAAAGTGCTTGCGCGTTCGAAGTACAAGGCGTTTTCGCACATTCGATTATGTATACATAGCTTTGACGGGACTTCAGCGTGAGTTCAAATTAACCGGAAGGTCGAATTAAGCGCGTTCGAATTAATGAGGTTCGACTGTGTTTCTTTTTCGTCGCACGCGTGGTCGCGTAGCAGTACATCAATCGGGCCGCGAGGCGGTTTCCTTCTTCGCATGCTTATAGGTGTGCGCCCATCTGAGCATACATTGCCACAAACTGTTATAATATGAGCACGTTTCATAGCGTGCTCATGTCGCCTTTTTACCTTGGAGGCTTTTGATGCTGCTTCTCCCGGTAGTTATGGGCTCTACAGGAAAATAAAAATGCTGAACAAGGCGGCCAAAACTGCCTTACTGCAGGGCCCAGGCGTCGTTTCATAAAGCAAAGGGCCATTTGACAAGCTCAGTGGTACGCAAAGTTGTCCATAGGCAAGCTTGCATCGCTGCGTGTACGAGGGGGATTGGCCAGGCGAAGAAAATAGGCGTGGGAATTGGTTTTCGAAATGAAGGGTCTGCACAACACGCAGTGCTGTAATATTTGGAAAGTGTGATCACTGCGGTCTATTGTATGAATTGACAAGCTTGTCTGAGGGGTGTAAAAAAATTTGCAGCCTGTTGGCTGGCCCTTTAAAACCAGCACTCACTACTACTTCTATCCACTTACATCTACAATCACTAATCGACCAGAGAAATTATCCCAGAGTGAGTGTCCTGAGCTGCGGTCTTGCATATCCGTATGCTATATGAACAAAGCTTTTTTCCCTCAGAGAGCCATGTACGTCTAGCTATACATTACCACAAATACCTTCAAGCATGCGTTGTTATCGTTTGCAGACATACCAGGGTAAGAACCAGCACTTCCTTGTCCTCCTGCTGCTGCGTCATTGCTGGTGGCATGCAGGGCCAGAGCGTCGAGTGCTTCCTCAAGGCCATCCAAGGCGAGGTTCTCAAGGGCGCGGGCAGCGGCCATGCGCACCTGGCGTGAGTCGTCCTCGAGCCTCGCCGCCAGGCCCCGCACAGCCAGCTGTTCGGGCACGCATGCTGCAGCCGCCTGACAGGCCAGCATGCGCACCTGAGGTTGGCCGTCCTCGAGCAAACCCAACACGGCAGTCACCACCTCGCCCGACACCTGCCCCAAAAAAGCGACAATTTGATCCACTGCACAGTGCCTTCAACCAGAAGATTACTGCGTGTGGTAAGCACCAACGTCCTGAGAATAGACAAAGCTCATGCTGATTCGCTAACAAAATGTGCAGTGCTCATGGATTGAAATATAACATGAAAACTTGTTGTACATATAATGAATGGTGTGCACAATCTACCTTTCTTTATGATGCCTTGGCTCATAAGCTCTTTCCCCAGCGGAAAAGTTGTAAAACGTGTCTTCAACTCGGAGACTTTTGTTCTGGCAGTACCGGTTGTCCTGGCTCCTTCCAAAATCGGCGGAAGGAGCACCATATAAGAAGAATGGCGATTTGGGCTTTTCACACATCGCCCAATGTTAGGTATAGAGAATGAGGTGTTCCAGCTATTTTCATTTGACATACTTGTAAGTTTCGATCTGGACAAGTTTGGTTTATGATGTGACAATAATTGGCCGACCTGCAGTGATGGTATGCACTCCAGCAGTTGCAGGAGGCACCGTAGTGCAGCAGTGCGTGCCGGAACGCTGGGTCGGCCTGCGGCAGTCAGCAGTGGCAGTAAGGCCTGCAGTGCTGCGTTGGTGCACTGCGGGGGCATGCGTCCGGCGGAGAGCGCTTGTTGCAGCACTGTGGCCGCCTGCGGCTGCCACTCTGGCCGCCGCTGCACCGCATTGAGCAGTGCAACGAGCGACGGAACCAGGTCTCTACTCTGGGAACCTGCAACAGTTTATCTAGTTTAAATATTCTTTCTGTTTTTTTTTTATGTGACTGCATATGAAACAGAGTTCTTCAGTCATGAGTTGTGAAACTTCCCATGGACGAGATGCCATGCAAAGGTAGCTTTCGTGCACTACAAAAATTCATGCACAATGGCGGCAGTTTCATTCTCGCTACAATTGTTACCTTCTGTGTAGTGTTTCGCTTGCTTGGCGATGAAGGGGAGGCATTATGTGCACGTTGCGTTTCCCTCTTGTCAGGCCACTGCCAAACATGAGAAATACTACACAACACATAACAACTGTAGCAGTAATGAGATGCCATCATTGTGCTAAAATTTTCAAAGTGCAGAAAAGCTACCTTGCAAGATTTTGCAACTCATCTGTAGACTTCATGTATCAAACTGCAGGCATGTCATTGGCTGAAATCGCAGGTAGGAAGGAAGGAGAAAGGATGCTATGGGCACCCCCTTTATAATGGGGCAGCGACATGTGTGCCACCAGGCTTGAAAGAAAAACAAAAAGAAAACTTTCTTTTTATGTTGGCTTATCGCCTTATCTACTTTGCTTAAATAGATCTTATTATAACAAAAATGAATATAAATTCACAGTCCATCAATCAGCCTCCTCAGGCAGATTGACCTCGTTTTTCCCACTATTTCTGTCTTTTATCTCTACGTTTCTGACACAAATACTCCAACTGCCTCTTACTTGCTTCTATTGCGGACGTGTTCAGCTTTCCATGGTTGTCCCTTAAACCTGAGGTGTCTGCTGAATTTGAAGCCACCTTTAGGCAGAAACACAAACTAACAACGGACACTTATATGGCTCAGTCGTACAAGTCCACAAGTGATACTACAGGGATGGAGCAAGCAGTGCATTTACAATCGCAGCTAATGTTTGGATATGATATCGTGGCCATCGAGGTTTTTTGCCCTTCTTGGAAGTGTTACTTTTCCTTAGTCTTGCCATGGAAACTCGCGCAATAACAACAAAGGCTGCAGTGATGGTGGCGATGTTGTTTGTTTTCTTTCATCACTCGCAGCTGGCACAACAGATTGCTGTCCTCCATGAATTCATTTATGGGCATGCCTGGGTTTTTAAAATGGAGTTTTGCAATGATTGAAGAATTGATGAAAGCATATGTTCATCAGACAAAAAGTAAAAAGAAACCGGGAGAAAAAGTAAAAACATTTAGCATACCCGCAAGTGAGACAAGCTCCCGCACAGCATCCCACTGTGTCGTCTTGGTGTGTGGCCGGTTTTCGGACAGGTCTTGGATCATGTCCTTGCCATAGCCAACGCACATGTCTTCCACGCAAGGGAGGTTCAGCATGTCTGCAAGCTGCCTCAGCAGCAGTGACACCTGTGCATGAAATGTGCTGATATGTTGACGTGATGGGTGAGACTTGATCAAATCTTGTGCACTGACAATGGCAGATAAACTCTTGCATAAAACGTACACTTGTATAAAACCTGCACACCCAACTACAAACTGCAGAAACATAAGAAGTAAAAAAAGATCCCCATGAGTTGCCACAAAGATGCATTCATCACATCACCATGAAGCCAACTTGTCACCTATATTTACATATATGATACGCACCCCTCTTTCACGTATTTTTGGTATACAGTAGACTCTCAGTAAATGGAAATCTGTTAAACGAAACTGCTGCTTAGATGGAACAACTTTCTCTGATATGATTGGTTTCATACTTGAATGCAGCTACCCACTTCACCTCTTAGTAAACGGAACTCCTGTTGAATGGAACACATTTTCCCGGTCCCTTCAAGTTCCGTTTAATGAGAGTCTAATGTATTGTGCCCATTAAATGCAAGAATATTAAGGAATAAGGAGAAATTTCTTTCCTTATGCTTTACATCATTCTCGCCATCTGTGGGCTTCATTCATTATAATTGGGATTTTCGAAAATTGAGCCACTTGATTCACCTTCCTGTTCACAAGCACCCACTAATTTGCACGTACGCACTACTGAATAGCAAGACTGCATCACATTTGTTTGGAATGACTGGTTTGCTTTGTCCCACTTAATGGCATGAGCTTGACGGATTGTTAGCGATGCTATGCTCTCCTCAATCGTACCACGGCGAGAAATAAAATTATACAGAAGCTGCACCAGCACACTGCATGCGCACACGCCAACAAACAAACCTTTTCAGCCACACATTCGTCCTGATAAGAGCACGCCTGGATGCTCAGGCAGCAGGACAACAGTTCCTTCACCGACAAGTCCATGGGGTCGCACACGCACGACAGCAGGGCGTCCATGATTCCCAGCACTTCAAGTTGGCTCCTCTGTGTAACAGGAAATTTGCAATAGGGAGTTTTCTACTGACACGTCACACATGTTTCGGTCAGTGTTACATTTGCAAATGTTATTACCAACTTATATCAAATGTGAGCTTATTCAAAGAAGCAGACTCAATAAACGGAACCAAAAGAGACTAGTAAAATATCTTCCGTTTAGCAGGCATTCTATTTGCTGAGAGATGAACAAGGCTGCAGGATTCAAGTACAAGACCAATCACGCTCGAGGCTGTGTTGCCAGCAAACCTTTGGAAAATACCCTACGCTAAGATGAAAATTACTCTGCTTTAACCTACACCTAAAAATAGTGCTGTGCAACTATGATAATGTACAGATAATGTACACTCTATGAGGTTTAGGTGTATGGGGTGCCTCCAGGATCGGCCTACCTATTGCAGTGGGACAATAACATCCGAACACGCAATTATTTGATGCCAAAGTGATATCGCAATGACTTCATGATGATATCAAATATTCTGGCGATGTGTAATGTCACAACGACATAATGAGGCGTCGTCATTATATCATGACGATTTTTTGCAACACTCGCATTGACACCGCACCCATAACAATAATTATTGTTTCAGTGCTGAGTTATGTGAATATTTCTCACAGGGACAGGAGCAGAATTTCATTACTAGTGTTTTTTTTATTGTCCGTTCATTCAACAACAAAACAGAAAGCTTTATTATGCTGTATCAATGTTAATAGCATATCAAAAATATATTCCTACCAGTGCGAAGCTTATGTTTTTTTATAACTCAGCTATGCACCTAAAACAAGCTATTAATGAGTAATTTTTGCTTAGTTGCTCGCAGAAACCATCTTTATTAATTTTTAAATAACTTTGGACCTAATGGACGTCTTGGACAAGTTAACTGCACGTTTTGAATCGATAAAAAAAAAAAACTAAACAAGACTGAGCAGTTTTTGAAAATTTGGTGCAGGTGATCTTGACGATTTTTTAAGAACCCACGACCTAGAGGAATCCCATTTGAGACATCTCTGTTTGCTGATATGTACATCCGATATTTAATACAAACAACACACATTTTCAGTTACGATGAACTTAACGATATGTTGTATTGCCCTTTGCACAGTGTTGCAAATGATCATTTATAATGCAGTGCTGCACTATTTTGAGTAGAATGTGCGGGTGTGCTACTGTTCTGCGACGCTTCTTGGTAAGAAATATTACAGTGCTTTGACATTGGGAAGTCTTGAATGGCATGCTTGCAGTGCACTCACTGATGACTGTGCCAGGAAGCAATAACGGTGAATGAAATACGGTAACTTGTGAATGCACCACTACTTTTCACTTGAATGAGTGGGATTGTGAAAATTCTTTAACCTAGCAAGCTACCGCAAATCTAATGTGCCATATACTGTATTCTCGTACGTTGAGTTGTCACAGTGCAATCCACTAGCTTTCTGCTCAACTAATGGCGAAATTCATTGAGAGGACAGGAGGGGTAGCTCAGTGAGTGCTGGGAGACGGAGCTTTGGGAGCAAGGCTACTTGTTCTACCGCTGGAATTTGGCACGCTTCCTGAGAGAGGGTGACGAGTGAGGAGACTATGTGATCGAAACATTCCAAGCCCCAGCGTATTCTGTGTGGGGCAGCAGCAAAATACTCGTGAAACCGGTCAGCCACTTGTTCTTCATTATCCCAATACATAGTGTGTTCATGCAACGATGCATTCGGCAGACGTCTAGCTGTCATTGTCGCCACTCATACAAAGCAGCGGAACCGTGGTTTCAAGCTACACATGGTTGCTACCATTGCCGCTGCACTCGCCAGATGCAGAAAAACTCGGAGGCTATGACGTTGAAAGGCCACGTGACTCGTCGTACTGCGCCTACTCCGCTGCTCAGACGAGAGTACTGCAAACTGCTCCTGGCTTCTCTCGGCGCAGCAAAAAGCACTCCACCAATGGATGACAGTGCTCCTGTGTGACCACTGAAACACGCCAGCTCCAATGAGAGCTTTTTCAGCGTGCTTTTGAGTGCTCCTGCTCCCCCAGTGGAATTCGCCATAAGGTGGTAAAGAAACACAAACAAAAGGGTTTGTACACTGCACCCGGACAAAATCTTGAAGATCTATTTCTTAAAGCAACTGTAAAAATTCCCTTTCTAAGTTCTTGCCGGGAACACATAGGTGAAAAATTTTCCCATTCCATAGCGGAGGCTGGCAGCTCATGATAAGGATAGCCCTTTTCATGGCTACTCACTGTATCAGCAGCAGCACCCGAGTACTCAAACAGGATGGGGAACAACTGCTGAGCGTACGGCCTCAGCCGGTCCGGTGGGCATAGTCGCACAAGCGCAGCCAGGGCATGTAGTGCACCAGTCGAAAATGGAACCGACACTGCCTCCAGCCAGCTCTCGGGGTCCACCCACCGAGCGCACGTTTCCAGGCTCTTTGTAATCTGCAAACAAAACATAAAAAAATCAAAGCCAGTTCCATAGGCTCTATCATCTGCAGGAAATTGGTTCCCTTGTGTCTCCCTTGTGCCTATCCTGTGTTTATCTGCTTTTTTTATGTTCCTTTTTGTGCGACTATGTAATATTTTCTATTATATTTTTGTTCTTATTCTTTATTCACACTTTTGATAGCTTTTTTTTTAGAGAAAACCAAGAACATCAGGGCTGAAAACATTGGCATGCCCCTCAGGCCCTGACCCTTCCAAAATCAGTGCCCGTTGAAACAACATAACTAGAAAACAATAGCATAAGCACACACACTAAAACATGACTGTTGAGGTGAATACTAAAATGAACCATAATAGTCAATCAGCAGAAGTAACATAAGCAACATAGGTAACGTAAGTGAATTAAGTAGCATAACTAAGAATACAACACATTATTCAGCAAACAAGTGTTTGCACTGATAATACAAGTGTGTGGAATACAAGTATGTGTTGTCATTTGATTTGTTTTGCAATAATCTACAATCTGTTCTATGCTGCTCTTCCTATTGTTCCTCTTATGTTTTCTGCTTCGAATGTGGTGCGCCAAATAGTATTGGCACTTATGTTCTACCTCCGCTTTTTTTCTTACATAGACCTGTTTTAAACTCCGGACGCCGTTTTGATGTCACTTCCCTGCCTCAGACAGACAAATTAGCCGTTCGGCAACGTTGGAATTCACGGGCAAGTGTGCATAGACACTCGAAGTTTGCAGCCAGCTTGGCTTTATGTGGACCAAACGTGGGACCAGCGTGACACCAATGCGAGACACAAGATGCCAGCAGGGCCATCCTGCTCCGCGTTTAAATAATGCAATTATAGAAAGGCTATTGTATGCTTTTCTAACTAGTGGCGAAAATTTTGGGAACACTCGGATACCTGATTTTCCCAGAGATTATGTCTAAGCTTGTTCGAATATTCAAGCACTTATATTATGCGAACAGATATTGCAGTATTTGAATTCACTTCGAGTTAAATTTAATTTATCAGAAATTTCAAAGTAATATTTGAAATGAACTAATAGGTGCATATTAGTCCAGGTTGTTTCACTGCACTGGTGGGAGGGTGGTAGTAAATCGTGAATACACCTTACGAAAGAAAATCCACACTGTCTTGAAGCCCCTTCAAGGTTAAATGAACATATAATCCCAGATGGATTCATCATTTTGTTAAGTTTAAAAGCATGTTATAGGCTCTAAGTACAGTAAATTTTAATTACTCGATTTCTATTGCAAGTCAAATCCTGCCAGGGTTGAAAGTTGCTTCCACTTCCTTCGAACCAAAAAGAATGCCTTGTGTCAATTAAAAAAAAATAAACATTGCGCAGGTTAGTTGGGTGCTATATATCTGCTGCCATGACACGTGTGTGACATTGGTGTTGCAGGTATGTCACGAGATGGGGACGTCTTTTGAATGCCGCCCCTTTAAGGGTGAGCAATTTTACATTACCACTGTCCCGCGTGTTCGTTGCATCAAAGAGGCACTTTGTTATGTGGATACACAATGTACTGATCACTATGGTGATACCACAGAGCAACAATATTTGAGGTGGAGACACTCCCAGGCCGCGCCAGCAGGCGAGGGCGGCACGATAGTGTCACGGATGAATGCGGTTTACGCCGAAGCTCACCAGATGATGCTTTCGACGTACATAAAGAATGTTGATACTATATGGAGGAAGCGAACTCGAAAATTGTCAAGCTAGTATTTAGACAACAGCAGCATACTAAGCCAAAGGAAACATCGGTTAAGAAGAAGGTGAAGCAAACAGAAAGAGACATATGGAAGATTGGAATGCTTACGAAATCATCACTGGAGACCTACCAAACTTTCAAGCAGGAAATTTCAAAAGAAAAGATCTACAATAATTCTCGGAGTAGTTCTCTGCTGTTCGAGGCCAGAACAGGAGTATTGCGGACCAAGACATACCGAGCCAACTTTGAACACACAGACACGGTATGTAGAGCGTGTGAAAAGGAGGAGGAAACGGCTGAATATTTGATAATGTTCTGTAAAGGGCCCCCCCTATAGTCCAAATTATGGCACAGAATTTTTCAAAGCAATGGGGTTTAGGAACAGAGAAGGAAAAATAGACTTTAAATGGGTAGAAATAACTAGGAGGAGGCCTACTGACTGGTGACTACAATCAAGGCGCGAGTGAAATTCAATTCTTAAACATAGTTTTCTATGTCGTGCTCTCAAACTATCCACTCCTTCTGTCCGCCTTTTAGCGTACAAATCAATTGTTTTACCAATATTAGATTACGCCGCTATTATATGGGATCCTTTTACTAAGACTAACATTAACAAACTAGAAAAAGTGCAAAAAAGAGCAGTTCGTTTTGTCTACAATAATTTTTCGAGGACTTCCGTTACTGACCTATTAAGCAGAGCTCAATTTTCACCTTTATCATTAAGATACCGTAACTTAAGGCTTAAGTTTCTGTACCAACTAATTAACGGCCAATATCAAGTAGACATAGCCGATATTTTTTCTTTTTCTTCTGGCTACTCTACCAGGCAGAGACATGACCTCACCATAACCCTCTTTCCCACACACAATAATTGCTTTAAGTATTCATTTTTTCCTCGCACCATAGTCGAGTGGAACAAACTAACTAATGCAATTGTTTCAGCACCCTCATTGGCATTGTTTTCCTCGAAATTAGAAAGTGCACTAACCAGTTGAATTGTTGAATCGTATTACATACCACTGTACATGCTTGTATAATTGTAGTCTTCTATTTTTTATTGTATGATATTGCCAGTTGAAGTTTGTATTTGCCCTATAGACATTGTATAACCTGTATATATTATATGACATTGTACTTGCCATCTGTTCATGACTAACTTCATGTACCACCCTGCTAAAATCACCAAAGGTGATTGCAGTATCTGTAAATAAATAAATAAATAAATAATGATAGTACTATAGGCTAGAAGGCATGAGCCACCGCCAGGTTTGAAGGGCACAGCGGGACACATTTATCCATCTTTTACATGCGCTTCTATGGAGGCTACTCATAAAAATTGCAATAGCGCCTCATACATTCTTGTAAACTCTTTAGCTCCTCGTAAAATTTTTCAGATTTCTGTCTGTGGTAAACATGACAGATATTATGGTTGCAGTGATTAATTGATAATGCGAAAGTTAGAGGCCGTACAGCACTTGAAACGAGCTGCTAAATAGTGCCTGAGTAGATGACGTCGGCGCCTGCACATGCACGCGCCCATCGCTCCTTGCTCACATGTTGTGTGCGTGCATGGATAGACGGCCTTGAGAGGGAAAGTTTTCAGCAAGCGGCCACGTTCCCCTTGGGGAACCTATTGGCCACGTCGACTAGGGCAATTCCTCGGTGTATGCGCAGGCTTTTCACGCCTCGACAAAGGCGAGGGCTTTGAACATTTCGACCAGTGGTATTTCGGGATGCGGCGGAAGTGTGTTGTGCCAAGCTGTAACAGTGGGTAGACATATCCTACAAGGACAAAGTAAATGCCCTTAAAGGGCCACTCACCAGGTTTTACAGTTTTGAGCTGAAAAGCGCAATTCGTAGACGAGGCGTTTATGATCACGCCTGCCAAAATTTGCAATGCTACAATCCCGCAGAAATAGGCAGAAGACCACAAAATAACGCGGGTCAACAAAGCAACGCCGCTCGTGTGCTCGGGGGTTGGACTTGTTTGGGCACGACATGCGCACGTCACCTCTTTGTTGGATGCCAGAGAGGCTCGGGAAGAAATTTGGCTTGCGAAGTCTAGGCGGAAGAGCGGCAGGGGTTTCGAGCTCATTTTGTGCCTCTTCAAAAAACCTGTTTTCTCTGCTCGTGATGAATCGATTCAAAAAATTTTTGTGGCAAAATGTTCTTCATTGGACACCCAACAACTTCCACTGTCTAACTAAAATTTGGTATGGGGCCTGGTGAGTGGCCCTCTGAAGTTTCTAGTGGCCCACTGAGGTTTGAGGTGGTGGCTTGCACCATAGCAAGGAAATGCCGATAGCGGACAGGGACATACTATAGGGTGGTGCTCTTGAGGTGAGCTTGGTGGCGGCAAAGTTTTGGACAAAGCGATATTGCCAATGTTCTTACTTTACTCCGTGCCTTCAATCTTTCCGTGCTTTCTCAACTACTTGTAAGCTGCTCACACACGCATGCAGGCACACATACATATGCATGCACACACATATGCACACCCAGAAAGAAAAATGAACCGGACCTGATGGTAAAGTGCGGAAAGCATGCAAGGACAGATACTTTGAAGGCTCAAAGTAAACACGCTTACTCATGTTGCATCTTAATTTTGCGGCCATGAACAGCGTAAATTTTTCAATCATAATCAGAGACACCGATTGATTGATTGATTGATTGCTATGTGGTGTTTAACATCCCAAAGCCACCATATGATTATGAGAGACACTGTAGTGAAGAGCTCCGGAAATTTCCACCCTCTGGGGTTCTTTAATGTGCACCCAAATCTTAGCACACGGGCCTACAGCATTTTTGCCTTCATCGAAAATGGAGCCGCTGCAGCCGGGATTCGATCCCATGACCTGCGAGTCAGGAGCCGAGTGCCTCAGCCACTAGAGCAACGCGGCGAGGCCAAAGACGCCGATACCGACATTTCTGCGAAAATAGCTCTTGAACTTTGTCGCATTAAAAGTTGGAGCCAGCGAGTACACACTGGAAAATATTCACAGGGCGCGAGCGGCGATTCGGCGTTGAGTGGCTTTGATCGAGAGTGCAGTGAGGGCAGCGTACATTTTTCCTTCTTTGCTAGTGGAGTTTCATGACATAGGGCGCGCCAGTGCTGTGCTCGATTTCATGATGTTTTCAGGATGCCCGAGCGGGCGCACTTTCGCCTCCTCAAATATTCTTGCTCCGTGGGTGAAACTACGCAGACAACGAGAATGTGCAGGACTCGGTACCATCATTCTCTGTCCCGCTACTCCATCATAAACCATCCTATCCTAGTGCTGACATCATCATATGATGTTACAGATAGCCAAAATCTGCAACATCATAATGACATCGCATGATGACATCATAACAGGCCATCATCACTTGGTCAAGGGTAGGCTCATCATGAAGGCACAGGGAGTGATTTGGAGAAAGTGGAAGAGAAAACGGGATGCCGTTTTCTGCCTCCCATAGTGGCGGCATGGTTCAGCGCCTTTGGGGAAAAAGAGAAGCTAAAAAGGAGCGAGATGCGTGGCAAGAGCGCAATGGCAAAGCGTTCGGCTACAGGGCGGTGAGGTCTGCAGGAACCGCAATCTCAAGGAACGCAGGCCGGAAAGGCAGTGGGGCTTGGTGACACCGGATGCTGATTCCGATTCTTTTTATACAGATTGCCTGGCGGGCATGTTTCGCCGTAGGATCAACTAGCCCGACAATCAAGCACGCCTCAGACGAGCGTGCGCCGGCTGACTTGGCCATCATGCAGCCACCGCCATGCATTCTTCAAGAAACTATGTTTTACGTGCATAAAACTTATCAGCATAGCAGCACGGTGACATCATCAGATATCACCCATTTCAAGCATAAATACGGAAGCCCTTTGCAAGATCCTCTCAATGGGCTTGATGACATTGGATGTGGACGGATGCTGATTCCGATTCTTTTTGTCCAGGTTGGTAACAAGTATCTAATTTCTTGTATTAGAGATGATTCTGTCACATTGACGGTGTTGCCAAGCCCACAGTGCTTGCTCGGTCTATTGTGAGACTGTCTGCATGTGATTAGGCTATTGCTACTAACGTCCGGCGACATAGAGTTGAACCCTGGTCCTTCTTCTGCCTCGGAGTCTGACACACAGTTAAAAGTGAATTACTTCGGAAAATTTTGAAAGAGCAAACAAAGACAAGTAAGATTGTCACTTCATTTGAAACAGCTAGAATCGACAGTAGAAAATATTCAAACCAGGATTACGAATATAGAGAAAGATCTGTGCCGAATTGAGAAGTGTGAGCAAAGGTTGCAGAAAACAAATGAAGCTTGCAGTATCGTGAACAAACTAGTTCTTGAGTTAGCCGGAAAGGTACATGACCTCGAAAATAGAAATCGTTGCAACAACATTGTAGTTTATGGAGTAAAGGAAGATCGAGGAGAGGACTAAAAAAAACTGGAGCGAAAAGTTAACGAAAAAAAAATGGCAGCATATCCACGGAGTGAATGATGGAGAGTGGGGCGAAGCATTCGTCCGTCCGTGCGTCCGTCTGTGTGACCGTCCATGCATCTGTTCGTGCTCCCGTCCCTGCGTTCGTTCATGCATCTGCCCCTGCGTCCGTTCATGCATCCATCCATGCATCTGTCTGTGTGTCGGTTCGTCCATCTATTCAACACTCCAAGTCCCACAATCTCGCATCTTTTTATCATATATTCCCCATATAGAAGCACCGCCATTCAGTGGACATTCCAAGGACTAAACGAGAGGTGGCACACGCACACTTTCTTACGGCTTGCGCTTTGGGTCTACTTCCCACCTTCAACCACCTTGAGTTCATGGCATATACTAGTTCACTGTATTCATGGAACTGTGGCCCAATGCTCGCTAAACCTTTCTAAAACCAAGGAGGTTACACCCAGCGAGTATAACGTAGCAACCTTTTCCTGTCAGATAGTGCTCAATGTACATGCCAGTGGCTGCTAATGTGAAATGAGAGACAGGAGGATTCAGCTTTTAATTTCTTACGGCTTGCGCTTCGTATCTGCTTCCCCCCTTTAACCACCTCGAATTCATTCATGGTATATACTAGTTCATTGTATTCATGGACCTGCGGCTCAACGCTCGCTAAACCTTTCTAAAACTAAGGAGGTTACACCCAGCGAGTATAATGTAGCAACCCTTTCTTGTCCGATAGTGCTCAATGTACATGCCAATGGCTGCTAATGGGGATCGCAGCGTGCGCGTTGACTAAAAGCCGAATGCTCCTGTCTCTCATTCCCCATTAGCAGCCATTGGCATGTACATTGAGCACTATTTTTTATTGTTAAACAACGCACAGAAGAAATCTCTCACCGGCACCACCTTGGAGGTCAAATGTTATACCTATTTCGGGTATGTGCCACTGGTGGTTACGTACTACGAGGGATGCACAAGCCACGTCATAAGAAGCTTCGCCCCTAAAACTTTCAAAAAAATTAGAGGCGTTGAAGTTAACTCCATAGAGCGTATCCACCAAACTGGAAGAAAACATGAACAGCGGCATCGTCCTATTATTTCGGAATTTTTCAACTACATAGACAAAAGTAATGTTATGTCAGCCTGCTTCATATTAAAGGGCACTGATATAGCCATATATATTGGAAGATTTTTCAAAAAAAGTTTGGGACATTCGATCAAAGTTATGGCGCACCGCCGCTAAGTAAAGAAGCAATGGTTCTAAGGCTACTCTTGGTTTGATAAACTCATAGTTGATGGCAAGCTGTACACATGGGATGCAATACGCGATTGCAGAGTGGCGTTGCCGGATTCCACTGCGCCTGCGCAACTTGAACAATCCTCTTATCGTTCCACGCGTGCGAACACACATAAACGCGATAACAAACGAAGAGAATCTGTCAAAACGCTCCGGCTTGTTTCGCTAAATGCTCGCAGTGTACTGAATAAGATACAGAGCCTCGAAGATATAATTTTGACTTATATATAAGTCAAAATTAGAGTGCTTATATATAAGAGACTTATATATAAGTCAAAATTAGAGTGCTTATATATAATTTACAAAAATTCGTTGTAGTCACTCCGAAAGAATAGTTCCAATTAAAAAATCTGGGCCCCCTTTAGAATTAAATAATTACAGACCAGTTTCCTTGACATCCACAGCTTGTAAACTGCTTGAACATACTTTATTTAAAGCAATTATGACACATCTCGACAATAATGATTTAATTGATGCAAATCAACATATATTTAGGTCTGGTTTATCTACGATAACACAGTTAGCTGAGATAATGGATGACTTTTTAAGTGTAGTAAACATGAGGGGTCAAATTAATGCAGTATTTTTAGACTTTTCCAAAGTGTTTGACGTTCCGCATGCTGATTCGGTAACCAAACTACATTCTATGGGCATTGAACACAATATCATTCGTTGGATAGAATGTTATTTGTCTTCAAGGAAACAGTATGTTGCCGTTAATGATTGTATTTCTGATACATTGGATGTTCACTCGGGAGTACCACAAGGTTCGGTATTTGGCACTTTAATGTTTTTAATTTATATAAATGATATTTATTTGTCTCTTCATTTGCCTGTGAAGATCCGACTGTTTGCCAACGACTGTGTTGCGTATGCTAATGTGACTGACGATCCCGACCAAGTTCAACTCAATGGTACGTTGCACTCAATTGGCGTACGGTGTGAAACATGGGGATTGAAGCTTAAAACTTCGAAGATCGCATGTATTATATTTAGCAACAAAAAAAAACCGCTAGAAATTTTTTATACTAATAATAATGCTTACATTGAAAAAACCGATCAAATGAAATATTTAGGTCTTACAATTACAAACAGTTTAACTTGGGAAGAAACACACATAGAAAGCGTTTGTAGCAACGTGCTAAAGAAAACTTGCATGTTTTAAACAAAAATTACGTCATACGTCATCGATCATAAAGTTGACTACATACAAAGCTCTCATCAGACCAAAATTAGAATACGCGGATGTGATCTGGAGCTCGCACAAAAAGTACTTGATCAGGGAAATAGAGAGTGCAAAACTTGTCCTTGAGGTTTATATACACTACATACTCATGTTTTTTCAGTATGTCAGTTTTTTGCGACAGGGCCAAATTGAAAAAACTAGCTCATTGCAGAACTGTATCTCGCTTGAAATTTTTGTATCAGCTGTACCACGATCACTACAAAATACCACATGAAAACTACATAACTGAGCCCCCCATGCGGTCTGGTCGTACAAACTACAACAAAACAATCAAGTAGCCGTTTAGTCATCTTGATATACATCAGTATTCCCTTTTTCTACATGCTATATCACAATGGAATAAATTACCTGAAGTAGCAGTAAACGCTAACACAGCTGAATCATTTGTTCGGTTTTTAAATAACCTTTAGTTTGATATGGAAAGTTCTGTTTATGCTGAACAGCTTTGTTGCAGTTGATTCTCGCATTTACTTCTTTATGCATAGTGTTCATCTCATGTGTTGAAATATTGTCCGTGCATATTTTATCATTTATAATTTTGTGTGTTTGTTATTGCAAAACATATTTATTTATTCATTTTCTTTTGCTGGTTAATTGTGGTTTACTACTTATGTTGTCAATAGTTCTAAGCATTATTGTTGATATTGTTTTTAATGATATTCCCACTCCTGCTTGGGCCCGAGTAGGGCCTGCAGTATTTGTAAATAAATAATAAAAAAGAAAGCTTTCTGGGGGAGTGTGAGGCAAGGATCAATACATGGACTTAGAAGAAGAGGGCATTCACTTTCAATTCGTCTGAAGCACATGCATGAGGGACCCTCGGAGTTTTTTTTTTTTTTTTCCCTCTTTTCAGAGGAATTCACTTTGTTCCTTCCTCACCCAAAGCCTGAGGTCCTGTTCGTCCCGGCAGAGCACAGTTGTGAGCGTAGGCAGCAGCGAGCTCAGGTGGTTGGCCGTGTGTGCCCCAGCATGCTGAAATGCTTCGCACAGAAGCTTGGCTGCGCGCAGCTGCTCTTCCAGCCGCCAGCCTTGCAATGAGTCGTGCACCACACCCACCAAGTACGGGAGGTGCTTTTGTACGAGCAGTCGGCAACCCTCGCTCTCGATGGCTGCAAGAGGGTTCACGAGCTTGACACTCTGTGTTTCATCATCATTTTCAGCGTATCCTATGTCCATTACAGAATGAAGGTCTTTACTGATGATCTCCAATTTGACTTGAAAATAATGCTGAAGGTGCCGAAAACCAATTTCTTTGGTACCTATCTTTTTTAGCGCAATGGAAAGTTTATTGGTCATATTGCCTAATCACGCAATGATAATATGGAAAATACCATGAAACATGTAATCATAACTTCTATATCTGCGGTTTAAATGAAGACACATACATACGTGCGGCAAACAGTGAGTGCGACAGTGATTTTAGCTTGGCGGTTTTACTGTGCATGCATGCACTCCACAAGCATGCGACATGGCTTCACATGATCCGCTTGCTGCCACAACAGCAGCACTGCTTGCCACTATGCAACTGCTTTTCTTTTGTAAGCAGCACAGAATATAGTGAAGATAGGTAATAATATACATGCTCTTATATTGAGCACTAATCGTGACAGCAAAGTAATCAACTCCATAATCAAGCTTCAAGGCTCTTCTGTTGGACTGCACAAAATACCGTTTCTTTTTGTTTGTTTAACATGATTTAAATATATAGATCTTACAACGTCAGAAGGGTGCTGGAATCACTTGTTTTTCATTTCTACCAGAATTTAATCCCACGCTCTGGCCAGTTTTGGTCCTTTTGAAAAGAAATGGATAGTTTGTTTGAAGCCTACTGTATTTACACACACAATACTAACACTGAACAATTTTGGTTGACCATTGCCTTTCTGCTCTTATGACAATAGACAGTTATAGTATACCGAGCCTAGCGGAATAGTGGGCTTACCACGATAGCGGGATCGAAATGGGTGGGCCCAGATACGTACGTTACTCGTACCGCTTACCGTACGTTCGCTCTTTTTCAGATTTAACGTTACTGTGTTAGCGTAGAGTACATATTGTACATAAACATGGCGGGGTTGTAGGACACCGCTTCAAAGAGATTTTGGTGCAGTTGTTAAAAGATTCCCTTCGTTCACAGTACACGACTGTTTAAAATGGCTTCCGTTGCCTTTAGCTAGCTTCGATGACCGAGTATTACGGATAAGCTAACGTAATTTTTTAGATAACTTTGCATTTCGAACTTCTCTAGACCTAAACAGAAGATCGACGTAAACAAATCGGCAACATAAATGTTCTTGCGTTAAGTGCGTGGTTCATATTTATTTACTGTTGTTCTTACCAAAATAAAGTTGTAACTATGCTTTGCGCGGTGACACAGGCAAACATTCTCATTTTCTTTTTCTTTTCCTTTTCACTGTTTTTCAACTTATCAATCCTCCAATAGGTGGTGCCACTATCCTATCTGGGGCACGTAAACCACGTAAATGCTATCCCGCTGAACTATAGGACACTGTTCGCTATAAACATTTGCTGCACGGTAATGCCATTCCCTTAAACCATGTTATCACACTAACGGTAAACTATAACCGTCTAATGTAAACAATGTACCCATGCTATACACGTGAGCTTTGCCCAATTAAACACATAGCACACTGTGCAAAAGACTGTTATGCAATGTAAACCATCATGAAGTGCAACGTAAACCATCATGAAGTCAAGCCTCAATTTATCGTACACAAGAAGAGAAAATTATTGGTTATAAAAAAATTAAATAAAAATAGTCTTGCCATAGGTTTTTGGTTATAACAAAGTAAATTGTGAATTGTGTTACCATTAGCACAGTGCAACAAACATTGCCACGTCCCTTTCCTCATGCTTTGTTATCACCCCGTTACACTACGTTCAGCACAAACCGCGCCTACAATGTTCGAGCAGCTTCGAGTTTTTAGTACATCGCTTTATTAAGATTACGCCCACTTCGGGGACGTGACATATTATTCGGAAACCTACGTCACCGCTAGCGGTAACGCTAGAATATTCGATGGCAAGGGTATAAATGCCAACACGCTTCGCCACTTGTCAGTTGATCGATAACCGACGCTCTGCTCATTGCTATCAGTGCCAGTGTTTTGCTGTAATCTGATTTTCCTTTTACGTGGCCGCAAGTTCGATACAAATAAACAGTTCCACGTCGCGACCCCGTGGCATCTGGTGGAGGTGCTGCTTCTTCCATGTACCAGACACCCCCATCGAGCCGTGAACCCAGCCCACGTCGCGAGAAAGACGCCAACGCCAACGGCGAACAGTGAGCAAACCGCAGGCAGATGGGAGCGCAGCCAGAACATGGGCCCCTACCCGAAAAAAACAGGCGGCCCCGGAGTGTGACTTTGACAGCAGCAACAATGACCGCCCCCGTGCAGCCTGCCCCAGTCGTTCTGCGGCAACACAAGGAGTTGCCAACTTTCCGCGGTTCGCCACTGGAAGACCTGGAAAGCTGGATTGAAAGAGTCCTCCGCGTCGCCATTTTCAATTAATGAATTAATGGACCGATGATGACAAGCTCCGACATGTGTATTTCGCTTTAGAAGATGCTGCTCAGACCTGCTTCGAGAATCAAGACAGGAGCTTCACCACTTGTGACGTCTTTCGCGCGAGGTTTCTCACCACTTTCGCAAGTGTGATCCGCTAGGAGAAGGCTGCAGCTCTCCTCGAAACTCGTATGCAGATGCCAAATAAAAATGTGGCGATAATCACGGAAGATAAGATTAAACTCTTCCGTCATGCAGACCACAAAATGTCCGAGGAGAAGAAGGTCCGTCTGCTCATGCGAGCAGTCAAGCAAGGACTCTTCGCCAGGCTGTTCAGGAACCCGCCAAAGACGGTCGCCGAATTAATTTTGGAAGTATCTACGATAGAGAAGATGCTCGAGATGCGGACGCGGCAATATAACCTTAACTTCTCGTCTACAAGCTACGCCGACATACAAGCGCTAGGAACCACCCACTTGCATGAGCCAATCCGAGTGATCATGCAAGAAGAGCTGCGAAAACTGCTTCCTTCAGCGCAGCCGCACATAGACTCCATCGCAGATGTCGTACGCCAGGAGATCCAGCAATCGCTGGGCGTTCTTCAGTCTCCAGAGCCGCAGCCCGCCGTCACGCCCCTCCTCTATGCCCACGCCAAAATGTCGCCCCGTCGCCACCATATCCACTGACGTCCTACCGTTCGCCAGTAATCCAGCGCAGCGTGCCGAGGAAAACTGATTTTTGGCGTGCATCTGACAACCGCCTTCTCTGCTACCACTGCGGCAATGCCGGGCACACCCTCCGCCATTGCCAGTATCGACAGATGGTTCTACGAGGCTTTGACATCAATGCGCCGTGCCCACAACGGGGTGAACGACCACATGACAGTGCCAACTACCTCTACCAATAATCCCAGGAAATTTTGGAAAATCATTAACCCCCATGAATCCCACACGGTTACATTGAAAAATGAAGCTGGTGATGATATGAGTACCACTGACGGTGTTGAACTTTTCAATGCTGCCTTTTCATCTGTTTTTACCAACGAAACCCACATACCGTTTCCTGCGTTACCGAATTGTATCCAATTATGTCGCCTATCACATTTATTCCATCGGGCGTATTGTCTGTTATCGAAAAATTGAAACTGTCTTCCTCAGCAGGTGTGGACGAAATCAATGCTAAAATTCTTAAAAACACGAAATCTATTTCTTCAGCGATTTTGTCATTATTATTCTCACAGTCACTTCGCACAGGCATCTTACCAGACGACTGGAAGGTGGGGAAGGTCATTCTGGTCTTCAAATCAGGTAACAAAGACAGCCCCCTAAATTATCGCCCAATCTCTCTAACAAGCGTACCCTGTAAAATCATGGAACACGTCATCTACACCCAAATCATTCACTTTCTTGATGCCAATAACTTCTTCCATCCTGCCCAGCACGGGTTCCGTAAGGGTTACTCTTGCGAAACCCAATTAGCCCTTTTTGTCCAGGATCTGCACACAAGTCTAGATACAAACCTGCCGACTGACGTAATATTCCTGGATTTCTCGAAAGCGTTTGACAAGGTACCTCATAAGCGACTGCTAATGAAACTTAGATCTTTAAATATACATCCCGATGTTTTAGCTTGGATTGAGGAATTTCTAACTAACCGCTCCCAGTTTGTTTCAATTGATGACGTGCCCTCTAACCACCTTCCAGTAACATCAGGTGTCCCCCAAGGCTCCGTTCTTGGTCCCCTTCTCTTCTTAATTTATATTAATGATTTAACTTCGCATGTCTCCTCCAGTATCCGTTTGTTTGCTGACGACTGTGTAATCTATCACTCAATCACTAACCCGACAGATCAAACCGCTATTCAAGATGACCTTAACCACGTGCAGGACTGGTGTGAAAGCTGGCTTATGAAACTTAACCCTAACAAATGTAAAACAGTCTCTTTCCACCGCCGTAGCAACCCCTCTTTGTTCCCTTACTCAATCGCTAACGTCGCCCTCAAGCACGTGCAATCATATAAGTATCTCGGTGTCACCCTGTGCCATGATCTTAACTGGCGCCTGCATGTTACCAACATTATATCATCTGCAAACAAATCTGTAGGTTTTCTGAAACGTCACCTTCAGCACGCCCCGCAGGACGTCAAGTTACAGGCCTACAAATCCCTTATTCGCTCTAAATTGGAATATGCCTCTGCAATCTGGAACCCACACCAAGTATATCTCACCGACTCACTTGAGGCAGTTCAAAACCGTGCTACTAGGTTCATTCATTCTTCGTATTCGTATAATATTAGTGTATCATCCCTCAAAAAAGAATCTGCTCTTTTAAACCTTGACGTTCGCCGTCGCATTTCCAGCCTCTGCCTGTTTCAGAAAATTTTTCACAGTCCATTCCGTCATCCCTACATTGTTCCACCGGCCCGCATATCTCACCGCACTAGACATCCACTTCAAGTTGCCCGTCCACAACGACCACTTTTTCTATGTCCTTTTTTGTACGGACTGCAAACGACTGGAATGATCTTCCCCACGACGTCGTGGCCATTTCCTGTCCATCAACATTTTTCGACCAACTGTCTGC